CCTATATTACAAAACCACCTATTCATCTCAGTGCAATAAAAAAAAAACATGGACTCTTTTTTTCTCGCGGACTACATTGTGTGGACCAATGAAAGCAGTACAATACGTGCAGATTCCGATTGGTTTTATTATAACTCGTTTCGAAGAGACTCTGATAGGTACACATTCGGATAAACTCCTATTTTTCTCCGCCAGCGAAGCCATCGCTTGCAATTAGCCGACAAGCGCCCTTCGTCGACCACTTCACTCGGAAGAAACTTCTTCCCAAAAAGGGCGTGTCAAGATCTTGGAACACGATTTTAACGAGGAGATAAGCTACGCGCGGTTCTGTTTTTTGGTTTGTTGGGATGCTTAGAGCGTCTATAGATTGAGTTGTCACCCCAAAAGGACGACCTCAGAATCGACCTCAGTGTCCCTTTAACATATCGGGTAGGGTGAGCGTAAAAAAACTCAAACTTAACTTTGTTAACTTCTTCTTTTTATATCTCAGCTGCAGTGCGGTATTCGGACCACCGCCGTTCACATGTGGTAAATTTGGCTGCTCGAATTAAACGCTTTTTATTCGAGAGACGTTTGAGGGCTCTGTTAAACCACGGAGACTGGGAATCTTCGAGTACATTTGACAATTCTTCAGCATTTGCCAATTCTTCAACATTTGCCGATTCTCTTCCACTGAACGGTCTGAGAATCCTTCTAGAAATGTATCAATAAACGTTGCAAGATCATTGTTAATTTTGACGAAGTCAGCTTTTGCATAATCTAGAATTTGATTGACGTGACTTGATGATTTCGGCACTGCAGCTTTAACATAAAAATGTAATGTTCTAGGGCTTATCAGTAAGCCCTAGAAGATATGATATGGGGGAACTAGGTCAGGGTGATTTGACAGTACAAGATCCAATATGTTCGCGGATAACGGGGTTATTCTGGTTGGTTGAGTAACAAACTGATTGAGATTAGAATCTAAACAAAGGTTCACAAAGTCATTGCACTCCGATGATGATGCAGTTGTGGATAGATTACACTCTGCCCATACGATAGAAGGAAAATTGAAGTCACCCAAGAAAAAGATCGGTGAACTGGGAAAACGCATGACTAAGTTGTTTGGAGCGTCATGTAAAGCTTTAACAAAGAGAGATGAGCATGACGGAGGTCTATAGCATACTCCCATAATCCACCTGTTGTGGTGAGAACCTATACAGACTCAAAGTAGTCCTAAACAACCTGTCGCGTTAATGCAAAAAGATTCAACATGAGCGCTCACTGCAATTAAAAGTGGCAATAACCTGTCGTGCTGTGGCAATGGTGAAGTGAAGCGAACGAAATAAGAGGAAACAAAAACTGGAGGTCGGTTATGGCGGCACCCAAGCACAGCTGGCTGAGAGCGTCTATACGGGAGGTATTCACTGGCGGACATAGCTGTGTGCGCGACTGCTGAGCGCGTTCTAGTGACGGCGAGCTTTCGCAGTTCTTTTACAACGTGAATTCCGCACCATCAAGATTGCCGGTCTTAGCAGGTAATGTAATCTCGTTCAGAGCATGCGCTCTAAACATCGCCCTTACCCCCCATTCACACTGGAAGCGGATCCGCGTTCGCGAAGCGGTTGCGAAAGCGGTTGTATAAAGATCCAGTGCAATTGCACGCGCATTTGATGTCATCGTGTGCGCGTGCAATTGTACTGAATCCTTATACAACCGCGTTCGCAACCGCTTTGCGAACGCGGATCCGCTTCCAGTGTGAATGAGCCCTTAAATTTGGCGCCCAGTCAATATGGCGTCCGGGGAGGGGTGTGCAAGACGGTGGGACGAGGCGGGACGAAAAGACCGGGACTTCGCCGCCTGCTGCGATTGGTCAGAGGCGTGGCGCTGACCAATCGCCGCCGGCAGCGATGCCACGGTCCGTGCCGCCGTCTTGCATAGCCCTCCCCCCAGGTAACGTCAGGTCATGTGACGTCGATTTCCCCTGCTAAATTTAGCGGGGAAACTGAGTCGACGTGTAGGTCAAGGTGTATTAGGTGACCTGGCGTCAGGTGACGTCACGTGACGCCACTTTCCACGTTAAATTTAGCGGAAACTGCACGGACGGACGGACGGACGGACAAAATTTTGGGATTGGGGGTTAGCGTTGAAAAGCATTGCATGCTTTAAAAGCCCAGGATCGCGGCGCATTTCCCGAGCCTCATTAGTTTCGTCAGTGGCGGAAGACACACAAAAAAGACGAGCGCCGTGGCAATGAACAATTGGAGCTGCTCGATGATCGCCACATCGGACCGCTGCGAACGGACTAATAAAGGGTCTGTTATACACCGACGTAGCGTTTACAAACAAGCCCGAGTTTGCCCACACCGGGTGTGGGCATTCCGCGTGCGCAGAAACCAGATTTGCGTGAGGCGAAGCTTCTGCGCATGCGCAGCGCCGACGGCAGCGCCACCTCAGTGGCGTGACGTCAGAGAGTTGAGTTGGTCTATACTTCGACGTTGAGCGCAGAGAATGTAGCGTAGCGCGGAACAGGGGCCCTTGATTGGCCGGCCAGCAGGAACTCGGTATCCGCGACCAATCAGTATCGGTGTTCGCTGCGCTACGCCACGTTTGCTACGCTCCACGTCGGAGTCTAACCGAGCCTTTAAAGTGAAACGAGTCTCGCAGTTAGTTGTATAATGGATATTTAGTACTTTCCATGGCGACGGTATAATTACGATTTGAAACGACAGAATCGCGGCAATTTAAGTGGGTCGGACGTCGAGCGGCGCAAAACCAACCTACGAACAGCAGGTGGCAGGAGATAAATGCCATACATTGTTTCCGTCCACTCGCAGTGACACAGATGTGGGATCGCACATCTCTGGGATGTATTTTCCGGTGCAGCGTTCCGTCGTAAAACAGGTCGTATAAATCATTAAACGAACGGAACCATAGCGTACAGTAAAGGGGTACTAGATAAAGCCTTTATTTCAGTGTTTTGAGCCCGTTAACGAAACAGGTAACGCGTTAAGACGGGTTCACACACTTGCGTTCGCTTATACGACTCCGTTATCGTGTTCTCTTACGGCGAGATGACACACTGACACGCTGTCGCCGTGTATGAGGTTTGCCTAGAACTGCGTTTCACTAGAGACAAGGTTTTGCTATAGGGTGCCCTAGGTTTTGCGGTACTCGCGAGATCGAATGTGCGTACTACCATAGCCTCATATACACTGACAAAGCCTGGCAGATCGCCACGAGAAGCGGCCTCCGAAATGGAAAAGGTGGGGCGGCAGACAACGGATGAAAGGAAAGCCACGTGTCTGGCGCCCCGCTGCGGCGAGATGCCGAAACACACTTTTCCCGGGCGAACAAGTGTGTTTCGGGTCCTCGCCGCTGTAACAGCTGTGCGCTGACGTCCAGGTTCCCTGAGAAATGGCTCTTTGATGCTCTGTGCAAACAGATCCTCGCTCTCCAAATCTGCGACCGGGCACTCTATGGCTCCGTCGTCGAACTGCCAGGCTTTGTGAGTAAAGAAGAGGCTATGGTATTGGTATGGTATGGTATGGTTCGGGGACGTCAGGGCCCGCTTGCTAGAAACAGCGTCTCAGCCGAGACTGGGTGAAGGAAAGCATTGCCGCGCCTCAACTGTCAGTGCAGATGCGACCCTCGAAACAGACAACTTTCCAGACACTTTTTTTTTTTTTTTTGCTAAATTACTTGCGATTTGTCGTGGCTCAAAGTGCAACGCTCTGATTTCTGATACCTTGTATGAGAATAGTCCTGACAGTGATGGGCAGGTGAAACAGCAAATTAGCGTACCTGAAAAACGAACCTTCTTTGTAACAACGAAGACAACAAACGTCTAAATTTAGAAGCTTTACGAGTCTAAATTTACCGCGAGAAAGTTTATACGGCAGAAAGATACAGTCTACCTTAAAATGGTGCCTGTCACCTGACGACTGTTAAATTGGCGTCGTGCATCTAATACCAGCGAATAATTAACCGAGGAAAGACCATCGGGGCATCATTAACGTGCTTTCGATTTATCTCAGTTCACAAAGCATAATTGGCATTGACTGAATGGGAGTGCGAACAGTGAACTACGCCGTTAATTAAGAAAACTGGTTGTCTTGGCTTACACTTGCACTGTGAAGTTTAGGAATGACGCAGTGCTATTCAACTCGGGCCACTACTCGCACGCTCCTAGCATTCAGCGTTCCTTAGGTAACGTGACAGCAACAGGGGCGACGTTCGCACAGCTGCGACCTGGCAAGACGCGGCTTGCTCAGAGTCCCTCGGCCATGACGAGCGGCATATATATATCGTCGTGGGCGGCAGCCCGTGGCCACCGGGAAGAAACAATAGGTCCCCATTCGACAGAATGACACCAGGCGAGCAAGTTACCGAAGCAGTGTCACTAATTGGCGGGTTAGGACTGCTGGTACACCCGAGTCGTCGCCGCCGCGCACTCGTTCAGACGTGCAAATCCCTTGGGGAGAAACGATCGGCTCCCACCGGAAATTGGAGGCCCGTGATGAGTGACCAGTACGCTCGTTGATTGCCCTACCCTCTCATCTGGATACTACTTCCGAATCTGTTAGATTTGTGCCGGCACGCTGTTGCGGTCCCATCGAGACGCACTCGTCCCCTGGCCCTTCCTGGCAAACATTAGCCCACATGGACACGCCTGATGTCCAGGAGTATATCCATGCCGGCGGGTAAGTGTCAAGTTTAAGAAACGCGGGACATGATTTATTGTGTTCATGCTTCCTGCCTCGACATTCGTTTTTCTCTGTTCTTATCCGCCAAAGCCGCGATTTCATTGACCGCGGAGTGAATTTAGCATCGGGATTGGTATACACGTCACGGGTCATAGGACCTGTGGTACATCCGGCGAATCCGAGACATGAATTCCGACTAGCATCCGGACTTTATCCGGGCCTTCGAAATAGGCAGGTTCTCGGCAGCAGCGACGGGGCGTGTCGCCTTATCCAAAAATGGGCACACGCCTGAACTTCGGACATGTTTGGTTCCAGGAACTGTGACGACGACGAGCTCTTCGGTGCCGCCATGCAGAGCGACGCTAAGCCTCAAGGTCAGGTCCGTGAACTGTTGGTGAACAAGGCGCTCGAACTGTTCACGCTATGTGACAAGGAAGACAAGGGCTTCATCAACAAGCGCGACATGCAGAAGCTCCAGGGAGAACTGCCCTTGGAACCCGAGCAGCTGGAAATGGTCTTCGACTCCCTGGACGTAGACCACAACGGATACCTGACGCTGGAAGAGTTCACCGACGGTTTCGGTATGTTTCAGCCCCATCGGATAAAATGAAAAAAGCTGTTCACGTCAAAAATTTAGTACTGAGAAAGTTTGGTATAAAATGCACTTGCATGCACGCATACAAGTATGAATCTAGCGTTTCATCCGATGCTTACATTGAGCATGCGCTTATGCAGCGTTTCATCCGATGCTTACATTGAGCATGCGCTTATATAGCACTTGATTTTTTTACAAGAAGCTGTTATGTTAGCACATTCTGGAACGTGACGACAATTCCTTTTTAACCTGAACTAGTTAGCCTTATATTAATCATAATAGGGGCACAAACTTATATCTAAGCCACTTGAACAGGCGGCAACGCTTTTCGGCCTCACAGCTCCGACGATTGAGTTAATTAACGTGGAACGTTCTCTGGCTAGGTGTTTGGCATTTAGTGAAGCCCAGAAGTGAAGCTTGGATAAAAGCGTGGCCGTGAGGTTCAACACTGATGGGTTTTGTGTGGGGAGGAAGAGGCCATCGGCAGTAAAAAAGCGTTTGCGCCAGGCGGGAATGGAACCCAGACCATTTAGACCAAATCGAGTGTTTTTCCAGCCTGTCACGCCAGGCGGAAATCGAACCCAGACCATTTAGACCAAATAAAGTGTTTTTTTCCAACCATGTCACGACATATACCTTTGTGTCTAAACAAATGTTTTATTTACAATGCATATAAAGTGCGAATGCACGTCACGCGTTAAGCCAGTCGCTAAACTAATCGATGATGAGCACCGAGAGCATAGACGCCACACGTGTCACGCGCGTACTAGGAGGGGGCACGTTGCAATATTGGTGAAGCCTAGTCATAAAAAAGTTTAACGATGTTGTGGCCAACGTGACCGTAGATCTCTCTGACATGTCACGTGTGAGATGGATGGTTGATTGTAGAAGGATTCCTTGCAGGCTTGCGCGCGCTCAGTGCGGTAGGTTTTATGAGATCGAAGGCTAGACTGTGGTGTATTCTAGTACCCCATAGCTAGAGGAAGGCTAGCTACGGTCACGTGATGTGGTCACGTTGGCCTGGTAAGTGAGGAGAGTAAGGAGGAGATTGAGAAAGAGGCGAGGCGTCAAGGGAGCATGGCTTGTGGAGGCTACGCGGCTGGCGTCATGCCCTCTCCTACCCTTCTATCCTCTTTGCGCACTGCGCGCAACACATATTGCCCTGCCACTTGCTATGCTTTTTTTAAAGTAAAATATATATTTAATTGAGCTATATTTTTCGTCGCTAGCGTAGCTGTCCTGAGATAACTGCTTTTATGGGAAACGAACTTTGGCAATTAAACTTTCAATTAATATAATTCGTGCACTTCTGTCCGAACTGTCTAGTCTTGGTTTCCGTCTGCGGCAAAGACAGAAACTACTTGAACGTGTCTTACAAATAATTGAGTCTGTTCTAATGAGACTGCCTCTTCATTATAATTGAGATATTTTACGAAGATATGTTTCTCTAGCGCATAATCGTGTCGTTATTAAGAAAAAAGTAGTTATTGCAGAAGTTTGATAATGAAAGCGTCTAGTTTAGTCGTCTAGGTTTGATAATGAAGGAGCCTTCGTTTGCAGCGGTATATCATTTCTTCTTCTTCTTTCTTCTCATTATATATTATTTAATGTGAAAGCTGAATTAAACGATAAATTCGCAAAAAAATTGTTTAATGCTAAGGACATTAACAGACAGCTAGTACCAACTATGAATAATGATACAGAAATGTTCCAACCTCTAAAGAAAGAAAAAAGCAATTACAACACAAATCAAACATGTTGTTAAAAAAACAACGAACATTTATTAAAAAAATGCAAGGCAAAGTTGACCTATCTTTGAGTCTTTTTTTTTCTTTGCTTTGAATATTAAAAAAAAGAAGCGAGATGAACATAAGGACAAATAGAAAAATATATATATATGGTTCCCCAACACACAAATGTCGTTTTCTTGGAACACACACAAAAAAAGCAAAATTCGACGCAACGTTTTTTTTTTTTGTTTTTTTTTTTTTGTACTTTTGTGCCATACTTCGATCCTTCCCGTCAGTTTCTGGTTCGGTCGCATTGTGGCAGTTTCACTATAAATTTAACAAAACTTTTCATACTGTTTTCTCGTGCGTAGAGGTAAAAAAAAAAATGAAAATGAAAATTAGGGAGGGATTTGAGATTCTTGGTAGCTTTTCCGCGGATTATCAAATAGGTGCATTAACGTTGATAAATAATTTGCCGCCTTGGATAGTTCACACATTTGGGTTTGACTGTGACCGAGTGCGTTTATATCGCCGCTGACCGCTTACTACGCGAGAACGCACTAGGATACTGGCGCCATCTATCAAGTAGCCCTGAAACTTAGAACTGCGAATAAGTAGACGGAAATGTTTTCGCACTATTGGAGAAATCAATTCTACGCACTATCTATAAGGGATTGTCGCCTAAAACATTGTCAAGGGTGTTTCAAAGCCACAATAAAAGAATAATGTGTAAAAAACAAGTGGAAATGCACGCAGATCAGGAGTTTTCCAAAGCTGTCCGACAGATGGCGCCAGTGTGATCTGTCGTCGAACCACGGTGCGTCGAGCACTTGATGACAAACGCAGGTGAGTGAAGGTCCGTTCACACTCTTGCAACCGAGTACGACCGAGAGAGACCAGACCGGTTTTTAAGTCTCTTGCGACCTCTTAGGACCGGATGCGCTACAGCGGAGCTGGTCCTAAGAAGTCGCAAGAGGATTAAAAACCGGTCTGGTCTCTCTCGGTCGTACTCGGTCGCAAGAGTGTGAACGGGTCTTCATCCAGACTGGTTAGACTATCCGTCGTACGGCTATTGTTACGCATAGCGTAAGAAATGCCGCGTGTGGCCTATTATGTTAATGATATTCCTGCTTCGTGATTCGGCACTCCCGTCGACTGATGCCGCCATCCGATTGGTTGCGCATCGATAATGAGATGCTCGGGACTGGTCACACCCTGCGCATCTTACGCCGTCACGTGACTATAGACGCTTTACACACGCGCCAAATAACAGCCGCCATTGCTGACCTTCTCTTGTCTCCCAGATGCCGAGCCACTAAAGCGGGCATTGACAAGCCTCCAGAAAGGCTAATGCTGTGGAGAAGGGCACAGTAGAACCTAAAATGCCAATAACCTGCCCCGCTGTGGTAACGATGAAGCGAAGTAAATGTAATAAGAGGAAACAAGAACTGAAGGGCGGTTATGGCGGCGCCTATGCACAGCTGCTGCAAAGCGTCTATATAGTCAGCTCAGCTAAACAATTGCACAGCACTAAGAGGTGTGCACTTGTGTGCGTATACTTTCCGCCGCGCGAAGGCATGTTCCTCGGGTTCGACTCAAAGCCTCGGCGCCTGAGCTGCCAGGTCGACACGCTGGCGCCAGGGACTGAGCTGGTGCCACCGGCGCAGGAGACACTAGCAGAGGAGACGGCGGACGACGACGACCGCTTCGAGGAGTTTCTGGACAACCTCGGAGCACAGAACCTCTTCCAGGAGTGAGTCATATCGGGAACTTACGATCGTTGCCGAACATATGGCTCATGCCCCCCCAATTTATACCGCGGAATAACTTTTACCAATGTAAATGTTTCCGGCATCGTGTGAGGGCTCACGCAGGTCGTGAACAACTTAGATCTCACTCTGTTTTACGAGGCAGTCTCTGACATCATGAAATCACTCCATGGATACAGACGATACAGCATTATTTACCAGGTAAGGATGGACGTGGGAATAAAAAGCTACACCTTCGCTTCCTTTATCATATATATATATATATATGACACTAAGCCTCCTTACTTCGACGCGCTTATTGATCACGTCAAGCTGAACGCGGGCCCAGCGCTTGTGTCCATTTATGTCAGCGCTCTATCCCCCTGTGATGACGTCCAAATTCTAGTGCGCGGGCTTTGATTATTCTCGGTGGTGCTGAATTTCATGACCCGCGCTCTATTTGTTTCATCTCTTACAAAATAAATTAGGTATATATATATAGGTATTAGGTAAGACTTTGAGCGCGTGAGAAGCGTAGTAGTGCACAAAAAGGCTGGGGCTAGATAAGAGACGGAAAAATCGCGCGAGCGCCTTATCGCAACCGCTAGCTTTGTACCTGCTCCACGAGTGGTAACTTTAGTGCACTACTATGCTTCTCACGCGCTCAAAGTCTTTCTGAAAATTACTAATTTAGTGCTTTTCGATACCGCCGAGCAATTTTCTAATTGGAACCATGTCTATTTTCATTAATTAAAAAGTTAATTAATAAATTTTAGTGAATTAGTCGACTGATTGTTACGATTAGCCCCCTATATTATGTCCCCCTGGCCGTATAACTCACCTCCACAAGCGGCATAAGTGTAACTTTCACGACTTTTTTGAAACAAATATGTTAAGCTTTAAAAAAAACACCCTATATATATATATATATATATATATATTGATACCTGTTTTCGCGCGGGCCTTCCTTACCCGCCGATTCGGGTTTGCATGTGTCAGCAGCGAGGACTACGTGCGCGACACCTGGAGCCGCCTTCAGGAAAGCCAGGACTCCGCGATGCTGGCCCACTTCGAGCAGTTCCTCACCAAGGTGATGGGAAACATCCGGACCAGCGAGACGCAGTGCTACGACCTCGAGAGCGCTCTCCTCACGTGAGCAAAGACTGGTGGAACGGTCGCTGTTCGACTATCGCATTAAAACATGGCGGCTTCCAGAGGCCGTACTTGCCAACGTGTATACCTGTCTTCGCACTATTCTTGGGCACCCACACACAAAAAAGGCAAAAACAAATGTGTATATCAAGGAAGAAAGTGCAATAAAAACATACGCGAGAAGAGAAGAAAAAAAAAAAGCCGTGACCCGATTGTTTTCTGAGCAGCTAGCCGATGCCTGTCTCGGCAAGATTGCTCGATTAACCTCATTCGATCAATTAAACTGTAAACCGAAAAAAAAGAAAATAGGTTATGCCGGACCTCTGACCCGGCCGCTTGCGCATTGTTATAATAAACTTAAAAAAAAAAAAAAGAACACAGAACACGAGTTATGTTTTCTAACTTCATAACGCGAGTTATAATGGTGTAGCGGGTGCGAATACGTAATACACGCGGCCGGAACGTTTCTTGTAAGTACAGCATAGAATTATAAGTAGAAAAAAGAAAGGACGGCAGTTAAGAATGACAAAAATAAAAACGTCGATTACCGCGAACATCGTTTGTGCGTAGTGCACATTCCTTCCTTGTCGATCTCGAGCCGCGCTTTTATCGTCTAGCAGGAGTCGAGAAATTAGCAGGAAACGGATAGACGTCGCGTGATATCCGGCAACGCTTTTTCTACACTTGTAGTTGCTCCGTCACCAGGCATCGATAGTGATTGTGGGATTTGCGCGGCTTGTAGCAACTCTTCGCGCCATCGAACGTAGAGTACAGACCCGCACACCATGGGGCCGTATTCGAGCCCGACAGGATCTCCAGCTCCAGCAGCTTTCCAAGAGCCGTAAACGAAGCTGAAAGAGAAAAACAACAAACACAGAAGGTCCTGATTGCTGGGGAGTGATCTATTGTGGACCGCGGGTGACTTGAGAGAGGTTCAAGTCGGTCTGTTTGCATGGCCTACCAGCCGGCGGCAGAAGCAAGAGGAGCAAGTGGAGCGTCTCTACGAGGAGATGGAGCAGCAGCTACGGCAGGAAAAGGACAAGCTGCTTGCTGAAGTGAGTACCCTCTTGCCTCTGGCGGCAGCTGCTGCTGCTGCTGCTGCTGCTGCTGCTGCTGCTGCTGCTGCTGGCACAGAGCTGCTGCTCACAGATACGTGGGGCGAGAGCTCGCGTTGCCGATCCCAAGAATTCTAGGCTCGATCCCACACCGTGCTCGATCCCCACCCCCGTTCGTTTCGCTGAGATTGAGAGCTGAGACTAAAAGCTTCGCCTTCAGCGCGAGCTCGCTGGTTTCCGCAGTGCTTTGGTTGCGCGTGCCTGCGCGTTCACACTTGTGTTAGCAAGGGCAAAAAGCTCTTGCTAAAGGCGGAGCTTCTAGTCTCAGCTTAGGGAGTATTCACACGAGGGAGAAATCCCGGAGATTTCTCCCACGGCACGCGCATCCCGCGACAAAAATGTCAGGCTTTGCGGTGTGCAAAAGCCTCGCGTTTTCGTCTCGTGATGCGCGCGTGCCGTGGAGAAATCCCCAGGATTTCTCCCTCGTGTGAATATCCCAAGGGTGAACGGAGTATTGGGGAGGGGATCGAACAGTCACGCCTCTAGCGGTACGCTCCAGCTGTGGGGATAACAAACCGAATTTTCTTGTTTGTTTTTGGTCAGAAAAATCGAAGATGAAGATTCGAAGGCCGTTCTTCGTGCGACCAAAGCACTGGTCAAAGCGACGCGCTCGTGCCCAGATCGTGCTAGGCCAGGTTAAAGTTCTTTATTATGCTGCATTAGTTAACACCGAACTGTGGGGACAACAAGCTCGATAAAGCACCCCCTATAGTTCGATCTCCTGCCCAATTACAGCCGTACTGCACAGACTAAACATATCGCATTCGCAGCGTAAACCAGTGTCGCCATACATTAAAGGCAGGCCAATTTTACTCCGTCAAAACACGAACGTCTAATGTCTTTGTTTGTTCGACAGCAAGCTTCTGAAACCAAAAACGACAGCTCGAAAAGTATCGTAATAAATTCGCAAATTAAAGTCAGCTATGCGGAAAGTGGCGCTACACTCCCTCTGTATGCTTTAACGTATATGGAACTTGTATTACTATTTAGTATTTACGGAAGCAGCACATTCCACGCTGTAGAACGTGAGAGTGTCGACGCTGTGCGCATAGGGGGCCCAGATTCGATGTAGTGAAACATGCTCTGGTTGGAGCGCTTAAACCGGATCTCCCACATGCTAGTAGAAGTCAAGAGAAGGAATTATCTTAGCTAAAGATACTTTGGGTGCGTGACTTCTTGCCATATACACGCGCACAAGTGAGATCTAAGTTGTAATACTTACCCTGCTCCAACGAAACGTACTTCTGCAAGTGCTGACAAAGGCGCACGGTTTTGAGAAGTGCCTTCTTTACGCGACTTCTCATACAAAACGTTCCGCTGGTGAAGTGTAGAAACGAACAAAGCAAACACCTCAGATAAAAAAACAAAAGCTAAAATACAATTTTTAATTTTTAATAATAAAAAAAATAAAAAAAACTGGCGCGGCCCAGGAAAACAACAACGACAACAACCCCCGAGACACTTTAACGTTACTCACCTGGAATCTCTGTCATACCGCACAGCCCTTGTCAAATTGCGGGGAACCGATTGGAATCATCTAAATCCGAGCTAATGTCACGGCACACGAGACCTCAGTGTCATGGCACACGAGACCTCAGTATGTAGAGACTGCATTGCACATGCCAATCAACTATAAAGCAAACCTCGGTAATTATCTTATTTGAGACTGTCCCCAAATATATTATGTTGACCTCATTTCCATGTGGCCATTTTAGAGGTTGCTTCAAAACTGACGCAGCAACCGCAACTGAATAAGCAAACTCTGACGACTCCGAGGAAGCCAGGTAAATATTAATAGAAATACCAATTTCTGAAGAGTTGCAAATGGCTCCGCCAGAAACCAGCTCGAGACCCGATCACTACCATCATGTGGCTTTATAGACTGTCAGATTTCAACCTTCCCGATATGAGAGCGGCAGGAACAGAATTGCCACGACCTGTTACGCAACCAATGCAGGAACGCCAGAAGGAGCGCAAACTTCGCGAAGAATTGGAACAGGAACTCAAGCAAAAGGACCAGTTGCTCCAGCTCCTGATGGAAAAGCATGCCCAAGTGAGTGTTTACAGCGAGCAGGAATAACTCGTATCTTTCGCAATATAGTAAAGCCTTTCGTTGTGTAGCATTCACAAATGCTCGAACTGAAGTCAAAGTCTTAACTCTCTGTCATCGTTGATACCCTGATACGAGCTTATAGGCGTTGTGTATAGATATAATCTGTGGAACGTTCAAAATAACGGAACAAACTCCTCCCACAATGCCCTCCACCCTTTCCACTTTATGAGAGAAAACGCTGGAGAGGAGGCGAGTGGAGAAGGAAACCACCAATTATAGAAAGCAGAGAGCTTCGTGGGAGGTGCTTGCTCTGATGTTCTTAACCTGCCACAAATTAGAGTAAATCTACAAAAGTCGCCAAATAAAAAAAATAAAAAGTTTGGGAGTCCTATCTCACTATAAACTCCCGAGGTTACTGTGGACGACAAACAAAATTTTCGATGAGTCAAAGGAATCGGATGCATATATAGTGAAAGTATTAGAGGAAAATTCTGATGGGGTCATTCTTTTTTCTTTTTTGTTGTGAAGGCGGCGAGAAAGCGCCGTGCTTTGCGTCCGGTGCACCGTTTCCTCTATGCTACGATCTTGCTTTTGCCTCTCTTTCCTGGCGCTTCGTAACCAATGCCAGGATATTTAAGTGTATCAGGAATAATCCGTACTTGCCAACTTCCTAGGGTGCGGATCTAAAAGAGTCGGACGTGTTGCCTTTATACAGGGTGATTTTTTTTCCCCTAAGCTTTACAGATTTGTTAAAAAAAAAAAACCGTGAAAGCTACACTTATGAGGTTTGTGCAGGTGAGTTATGTGAATAGTGGGACATAGTATAGGGGGCTAATCGTAACGATCAGTCTGCTGATTAGTAAAATTTGCTCATTAACTTTTTTAGTTAATGAAAATAGACATATGGGTTCAACTAGAAACTTGCTGAGCGTCATCGAAGACCACTAAAGCGGTAATTTCAGAAATACTGAGCGCGTGAGAAGCGCAGAAGTGCGCTAAAGTGACCACTCATGCAGCAAGAGCAAGGCAACCCGTGCGATAAGGCGACCGCGCGATTTTTCCGTCTCTTAACAGACGCCCAGGCTTGTACCTGCTGCGCGATCCGACGTGCGGACTGCCGGAATGACCTTGGAGGGGAGAGGGTTTTCGTAGCATCGGAGAGCGTTGAAAACCCTCGCCTCCGACCGTCGTATTGCGCGGTCGGACGTCGGATCGGACGGTTTCGTCGTGCATGTGCTTCGCGCTTTACCACGCTTCCCACGCGGTCAAAGTATTTCTAAAATTGATTGATTTTGCGGTTTTGGATGACGCTCAGCAGGTTTCTAATTGGAACCATGTCTACTTTCAATAATTCAAAAGTTAATTAACAAATTCTACTTAATTAGCCGACTGATCGTTACGATTAGCCCCATATAGTATGTCCTCTCTGCAGCCGTAGAACTCAACTGCACAAACAGCGCAAGTATAGCATTCAAGACTTTTTTTTTTAAACAAATCTGTAAAGCTTAAAAAAAAAAAAAAAAAAAAAAAAACTACGTATCTTAGAGAGAACAGGGAGCATCGAGACATCAATTGCTTTGGCGTCGCACCACAGAACAGTCGAAGCTGCTCATTCATGATTACTAAAAATAATGAGATTTAATTTGGTCCTTGCCCGAAACTGGACATAGAAACCGCGGGCAAGTTGCCGAGTTTCAAGATGTGCCTCCCGTGTGGGCTTTGGCAGTCAAAGTAAAATCGTGGAACGATGCGCTTGCTTTTTTTTCTAAAGTTTATATATTTTAACCGGATATGCGAATGGTTTATCGCATCCTGTGAACGCATCAACGAACTTGTCATAAATCGAAGATTAATGTATTTTATAGCATTTCTAGACTAAGTCCACCTCTAATGTCTGTTTGTGTTTACCCGCAATCATAATTTATATTTTTTTTTTATTTGTGTGATAAAAATATCTACAAATCTAATATAAACTTGCTACTTCGTTCAGTTTTTTTTTTTTTTTTTTTTTTTTTTTTTTTTTTTCAACTGCAACGGCAACGACTGCCTTTAAGTCAAAGAAGGTTTGACGGCAACTCTAATGCAAAGCCTAATCAATATAATTTTTTTTCTGAGCGTTACAGCATTGATTTGTGGCGAGATCATTGAGCGTTTGTAAGAGCAAGCTTCCGGCTTTCCCCAAACAGTTGGAGGCACAGCTGAGGAACGTAAACACCAACGAGGCGGAGACCAAGCAGGAAAATGCCAAGCTCCTCAAGGTAATCGAGCCGTTCCGTTCTTTAACGTCTCTTGTGTCTCCGCGACGCTAATGCGTAATACCGCCCTCAAAGCTGTAGGCATGGCCACTGAAAGTACCATCATTCAGGGCTGATCACCGAAAAACCAGTTCCCTGAATTCACGAACTGTTCGTTCAGGAGTACGTCAAAAAGCAAATCGCGGCCGGCCACTTTCAATGCGCATGTGCGGTTAAAAGCTCTGTTCAATGTATCCTAAAGGCGCCATGCTGCCAACATGCAATGTTAAAAAAAAAAAAATTGTACATGTCCGTTGATCCTGTTGAGTTTTAATTTTCAGAAAGCAGATTGCTCACGCTCGGTCGCTTCGCAAACCTAGTTTTCCTTTCAAGGTCGTGGGTAAACGAGGGCCACGTCTAACGTTTGTGGTTTCTCTACGACGTCCTTGCAGAGAGGCTGTGTTATAAAACTTACGAACGGTCTCTACCCATGCCCAAGCTATGGGAGCTACCACGCCCGAGCGTCCACACGCAAATTTGAAAGGAAGTGCATGACGAAATTTGCCAACGCATGGTCATTATGCCCTACAGTCCCACTAGAGCGACAAACAGAAACAACCGACACCGACAAGCCTCAAGCCCGTGCAGCGTACACGCGACGGTATACCTTTGGCAGGCTTACAGTCTCTTGGTGCGCGTGACGTATAGGCATGAGTGCATGATTGCAAGCCTGCCAGAGATACATTCGCCTGCGTGCTTCACGTGCACGAGGCCTGTCGGCTGTTTCTGTTTCTCACTCTAGTGGGACCAGAGTATATACTATATAAGATCCGTGCATGTGTATGTCTGCTAGTTACCAGGGATCGAGATTCTCCGAGAATCTGGCAAGGTTAGGATGCACATATCCTGAGAACCTCCAGACAGAAATTCTAGAGCGAATTCCGCTGACCAAATAGTGACTCTAACGAGTGTTCGGCCTTTCAGGAACTAAACAGGCTCGAGGTTCGGTTGGTGGACTCCGAGAGATCGATGCAGGAAATGCAACGTCAGGCGGACACCATGCGGCAGCACTCCTTGGAAGAGAAGCGTCGCCGCGCAAAGTAAAGGTCACCTCGAGCCTTTGTGTAGCTCTCTATCTTAGTAACTGAAAAGGCCAACAATTCACAACATTATGACAATACACGCATGCAATGGTCTTCCATGTCTTGTTGTCTGTTTTATACCCGAAATAAAGTACCCCAAATATTTTTCCGGTGTCGTCGATGCTTCAGCCGTTTTAAAGAAATTCAAAATCATCGCATCGTTTAACTTTTTTTTTTATTAGACACACATTTTAGTTAAAATGAAGAGCGAGAGAATGAACGCGGTAAACGAAGGAGGTATTTGTTTCAACACATTCAAAGGCGTCGTGTACTCCGGCGATTTTTTGAGCCGTCCCAACTAACTGTATTTTTCTGAAGCCCCGGCCCTTACCCTTTCCGCTATCGCGAAATTAAGGATAATTATTGTAAAATCCGAAAATGAAAATGATGCAAAAACCAACATTCAAATATACCCGCACTTTTCAGTGCTGCGATGTCAGTGGCAGGCAGGCTGCCAGTCGAGCAGGAAGTCTAGAAACTAGACTATTGCAAACGTTTGTTTCGTGCTGGTGAGCGCGTACTGGAGCGAGCTTCCAAAGCATTCGTTCGACACCATGAAACTGTTTGGAATCGCTTGGAAACAAATTCTACAGCCCAGAGTAAACCCCTGCCTGCCGCTGGCGTTACTTTTTTGTAGTCGCCAGTAGCGATGCCTATTTGTGTGTTTAGCAAATGTTCAGACAAACCAAGGACTATACCTAAAACGCCGGAATACCCCTAAATCCCGAAATATATCTCACTATACGTTTGTTTTGTCCACGAATAATGTAGACAAAACAAAGGCGTAGCTCTGTTCAAGGTCCATAAAGCTTGAACAAACCTAGGCATCAAGTAAAACGGTTGGTGTCACGGAACATTTTCCTAACACGGAAATATGCCTTACCTAAATTAACCCAAGAATGAACTTGACGAGTCTGCATCTCGCTTTTAATAGGCTTTTAGGACAAATATGTACATACAGTACTACGTTTGAAATGACCACGTAGAAAGCTCGGAACTTCACAAAACCAGTCATACGTCTATACTCGTTTTCACCTCAAGAAAAAAGCAAATTTTGCGCATTGTCCATACGCGGCACGAAGTAGTTCTTACGAGATTTGGTTGTCAGAGGAAAAAGCGGTGCTTTTTGTGTTTGGATCGTGTACGTCTTAGTAAGATAACATATATCTAATCTACAATTCACGTATATGTATCCTAATTTTCTACTTAAAGGGGGCAATCAGTAATGCTCCGCAAAAAAGCCGAACTTTTTTTACTATGGTTCTTGAGGTGAAAACGGGTATTGTTCAGGCACGCAGAGCGCATACTCGTTAAATCTCAAACTTCGTAGCGGCCTGCCAAAACAGTGGCCGGAAGTCGCTTGGGACTTTTTCGGGGGGGGGGGGGGGGGGGGTGCAGGAGGCGGAATCGTGTTCGTTAACACGGAAAAGGTGTATTAACCAAAGTCCTACTATCATCGACACAAACTATGACCTCACGATGTCATTGTCAGGACAGAAGGATTCACATGCGTGTGTGTCCTTGTTGCCTACCTGTTGTTCTACAAGGTTAGATTAGATGACTTAACCCCCCCCCCCCCCCCTCTTAAATATACAATCACCTGGCTCATCTTCCTTGCTATCCGATACCTTCTTCCCTCCTCTCTCTATATTCCTCAAGAGTCTGACACGACCACACGGTCGTAATGGTCTTTCTGTCTCTTTCTTCAATGCCAACGACTACGACGGTTGGCGGCTTTGCGGCGGCGATGGCGGTGGGCATTCGCTGCGGCGGATGCCTGCTGAAGCCGGGGTCCTCCGTGGGAAGGTGCAGGCTGGTCAGGTGCGCGAGCCTAATAATCACTACATAAAAAAGTCGTTTTTAGGCGAGGCCGTTTGACACGTCGTTCATCCTGCTTTTTACCAATAGCGCGTTCTGATACCAAGATTATGGCGGTTAAAACCGACCGCTCCATCCTGCCGTCAGTTTACGTCTTCCACCAGTCCTTGTAATGTTTCGCGTTGTTTATTTCGCTGCGATTCAGTATGTACCAACTAGCACATATAGTGCATGCATCAGCGCAAAAAAAAAACAAAAAAAAAACCTCTTTTGAAGGAAAAAAAAAGAAAAAGAAAACTTCAACTTTCGCCACTGCGATGATAAATTTTTTCAAGTCAATTCTAACATTTTCGACTCCAAAATGACATACTCAAACCTTAATATGTCATTTACATTTCACACCAAAGTTCGAAGCTGCAGATGTCAAAGACATCTGCAAATTCGAAAAGCTTTCTGAACCTACAATGAATTAAATAATATTCGTATACTCGCCTCTGTCTCGCAGAACTGCTATGAAAGTGACAGAAGGCATCGCCATGGAGAGAGAAAGCCTTGTCAAGCAGCTCAGCTTGCTCAGGTAAAGACACTGCCTCGCCTCGCTTGGAGTGCTCCTCACTCTATGAACAGCGGACTTTTACTTCCAATCAATTGCAATCATGCTCTCAGCAGCTCTATGCTGTCTCGTGTTAGCGTCCATAGCCCACTGGCCCAGTCATGTTTGTAGTTAACTTTCATAACATTTTCAATTACCTTGTCCTATTTGCAGCTTCCTTTTCCAGAGAAGAAAATTTTGAACCCTGCGGTTGATAGGAACGTGGCAGGTCTCGCGCAGCAATTGTTCAGGTCTACAACTTCACCGACTACAACTTAAACGCCCAACTACACGCTTAGAGGAACTCCGTAACGTATACGATACACATTAAAACTTCTCGAGGCGATATAACATTAAAATACCAGTTTGCGCAAGTATAAAGCTCAGCTCATATATGTGACGGAAGTAACTTGGGCTTCCTAATGTCCGAAAAGTCGCTTTTATACCAGACACAACTAAGGCATAGGCGTATGTACACTTGAGGGTTTTTGCTTTGCTTTTTTTAGGGATGTGAACAAAGAACTGACCGACCAAAAGGACGAAATCAACCTGCTGATCTTGAGGAGTTCAGACGTGAGTGTGTGGAAAACTTCACTTATAAAAAAAAAAAAATTAAGAAATAAGTGCTATAAACGCACTAGTTCGTAAAAATCTACATGCGAGAGCCGAGGCAAAGGCGAGCTGTTGACACATCCTCGAGACGAGCAGTCAGCTCTTCCAATAGACCATTTTCGAATCTCCATCAAGCAACACTGGGGGCCGCCATATCTTGTGCATGAAGCGTGTGATTGGACCCGAGTTTGCCGAACTCTGACGATGCCGTCGTTCTCGATATTAGCTGAGCAGAGTTCACGCCGAACCGAACGTTGTCGAAGGCCTCGTCCGCCCAAACAATGGCGGAGCCAGATGGTTGGCGCAGCAGCTACTTACTTGATGGCGCGCACTTTTGAAAAAGGCCTCCCACATCGTTTTCTCCGGTACACCACGGGAGGATTCGTGGAAACACTATGCCGTCCCTTGTAAACCCACAAATAAAAATGACGATGTTATTTCCCAAGGCTCCTGGCAGGTGTGACGTTTGTCCGCACATCTTGCAGCAGTCCGGCAGCGGCGAGCGGTTGAGCGACGTCCTAGCGGCGGAGCAGCCCAGTACCGCTCCCAGGGAACATGCTGACCGCCGTGGTAGCGTCCTCTCAAACTACATCGTCGAACCCAGGTACACGCCGATGCTTGTACAAAAAAGAAAAAAAAAAAAAAGAGAGAAAAAAAGATTGCACGCTGCTCTCCATTGCTGACCATGCACTTGTTGTTTGGCGTTCTTCTCTCAACAGGAGCATAGGTTGATCGTGCCAGTTACGTGTAAGGATTTTCTGAAGACCGAAGGAGATCTTTTGGGACTATTTCGAACCGTTTTGAGCCTACTTGTTTTTTTTTTTTTTTTTTCTTGGCCCTCAGTTTTAGTTGTAGGACCGGTACGCCCGCGTTCCTACCATTTCTTTGGGACCATTTTAGATATGGCCATTCAGAAATTGTTGCGACGGGCATCTCGAGAAATATTCTGCGCGAACAATCGCATGTTATCATTTCACTGTCAATCCTCGGCCAATACGGTGTCGGAATGGGGAGGCCCAACGTCGTCTCTCCTAATTCTAATACATACATTCGACAGGGTTGGGAAGTACTTTAAATACATTGTACTTCAAGTACTACTTCAAGTAGGTTTAGAAAACGTGTACTTTACTTGAAGTACATGCTCCCTGAGCATGTACTTGTGCTTTACTTAAAGTATATTTTTCTGGTTCTTTCCGAGGAAAGTTCAAAGTACATTGACTTCAATGTACTTTGAAGTCAAGAATCACAAAATGACGTATTGTTAACAAAACAACAACAAAAAAAAGTGATTTATAAGGTGATTGTTAGATGGTTCGTCAGCGAGAGTAAAACAACTTTGTGGCCACTTGACTTTGTCCAATATTCGCCGCCATTTTCAAAAACTGATGACGAACCACCGATTACCACTGGGGCAAAGCATACCAGCAAAAACAAACAAAACAACAACACACACTATGTAGAAGAGTGAAAGGGCACCATGAAATATTGTGTTAAAAAGTACTTGTACTTCACTGTGAAGGTATATTGTATTTATAACACTTCAAGAATATTGCACCCGGTGTACAGGGTGTCACAAAACAAATTTACAGTTTTTTTTTGTTTTTTTTTTACCGCGAAAATAAACTAGGCATTGCCGAACGCTCATTCTCCGCCCAAAGGTAGCGCTAGAGGTCACAACCAGATGCCAAAGTTTCAGCCCAATACGATACTTTAACGAAAAGTTATAAGTGATTTTCTAAAAAGTTCAATGGGAAAATGGCGGCCGGCGGAGTTTCGAATACATGGGGCTCTATGGGCACCAGAAACCGAAAATGGACAAAAATGGGCTCCCTTGCCCATTGAAATTTCCAGAAAATCGCTTATAACTTTTGATTAAGGTATCGGATCGGGCTGAAACTTTGGCATCCGGTTGTGACCTCTAGCGCTACCTCTGGGCGGAGAATGAGCATTCGGCGATGTCAACGTTTATTTTTGCGGTAAAAAAAAAAAAAAGCCTGTAAATTTTCTTTTGTGACATCCTGTACTTACTACTGCAATTGAAGTAAATCACCTCTCATTTACTTTGTACTTCAAGTGTTTTTTAGATATACTTTACCCAACACTCACCTTACTTACGTGGTTGTTTTTCAACTAAGCACCTGGACTTTTGTTTTTTGGCCGGTGGTCCCACCACGTCTTTATTCCGTTTCACATCAGGTCTGAGCACAGCCAATACGAGCCAGTCGGTCAAAGTAGCGCCAACTCTGTAGCCTATATATAGTAACTTTCAGGGCGCCGAAAATACACAAGGACAAGATACAAGAAAGGAGACGTGAACAAGGCGCACTCGCAACTAGCGTTTATGAAAAAACCACTCTCTTATATACTCATGGAAAACAACATAGTCATACTACATAGTCATACTATGACTAGTATGTAGTATGACTGTGTTGTTTTCCATGAGTATATAAGAGAGTGGTTTTTTTCATAAACGCTAGTTGCGAGTGCGCCTTGTTCACGTCTCCTTTCTTGTATCTTGTCCTTGTGTATTTTCGGCGCCCTGAAAGTTATCATGAACCAACTAGCCCAGATTGTCATCCTATATATAGTGCCACAGAATACTGCTCGGTGACTAGTGTAGTCTAACGCCACTTGTCGCCTGAGCCGTGACATTGCAGAGTCTGCGTGTACTGCCTTCGTTACTCTTTCTTAACTAGTTCCTAGCCTTCTCTACAGCATTGTTATTAGCATGTATGTATTGACGTCTTTGAAGGGTGTGTTAACGCACCCTAGCTCGAAGCACGTGGAGTCAAAGCTCGCACTGCAAAACCCAGTGATCCTGCATGGGTCCGATCCCCGCCCCTGCCCATTTCGATCTAGATGAGCATCGTAGCGGCGTGGGATCGTGTATCACGACTGAGAGATGCACGTGAAAGACCCCAGGTTTGCAGTGGTACTGCAATGGATATATATTTCTCATCTCTACGGCGAAGACACCGGACGCCCACTAAGACTGACAAACTTCCCGCTGTCTAAACAAACGACACAATTATTTTACGTCTCTGTAATAAGACGCGCAGCTAAATATGAGCACCTTTGCCCAAGTCCCGCGGGAGCGACAAACAGAAACAACCGACAAGGCTCGAGGACGTGCAGCATGAACGCGAATATATAGGTACCGTTGCCAGGCTTGCAGTCTCCAGGTGCTCGTGATGTAAGCACGAGCGATGCAAGCCTCTCAAAAATACCTTCGCGTGCATATATCCTGATCGTGCACGAGGCCTTTCGCTGTCGGTTGTTTTTGTTTGTCGCTCTAGCGGTTCCCGGGCAATTTTGTTTCTTATAAAATTATCCGTGTCACTGCGAGGCCCATACTGCGGGGGCTAGCGTCATCATAGCCGCATATGCGTACAAAAATTCCAGCTGTCCGCTTTCCGCGGTATACGAAAGCGAGCGGGTTGAGAGGGCCGGAGCCTGCGGGAACAAGTGCGTCGCTCGACAGCGAGACGGCGAATGGAACAAGATTAATGTGTCCAAAACAACCCCGGCACAAAACACAATCGAGGCGGCGTATGCAGCGGTACCCGCACAAGAGAGAAATGAGGTCCCGCCAGATGTCCCCGAGACGCTGTCTCGAAGGAAATGCAGATTGGCTTCGACTTTGGTCAAATATCTGGAACGGCCGGTGAGCCGGGGACAAAAGACAACACGCAGAATCTCTGAAAGAAACGGTTTACAGAGGACGGATTCGATAGCGACGTATCTGCGATTAATTGAGGTTAATGATACGAGCGTCCAGTAAAACCGAACGCGTAGCTTCGACGTTGGCTGTGTGTGCAG